ATACATGTTTCAGAAATACCCCTGCAACTTGGGAATGACAGGAATCTACCTTCATTGTGAACTCAGGGAATGCCACCACAGCCCTGGGTGATTCAGTCTGCAAACCAGCGACGACACTGTCGCTGTCGCCGTCGCAGAGTTAGCTGTGCTCTTTGCAATAGGGAGCCTGGCTTTCCTGAAAAATACTGACCTACGCTAACCAGCTCTCGGTTCTGCATAGAGTGTGATGGAGCCCAGAGCAAGCCAAGCTCTGGTAGGGTAGATCTCGGGCTGGTCTGTCTCCTAGGAGGAGGTGATCCCCCTACAGGGTGGTCTGGTCTCTTTAAGAAAGAAAAAAAAGTTACAGAGACAAAAAAAAAAAAAAAAAAACAACAGCAATACAAACCAACCAAAAATGCCAGGAATGCAAGCTCTGCCAACCAAATAAATAAATAAGATGTGAGATACTTTATAATAACTGGACATGATGCTTTTCTCAACCCTGCATAACTGAAAATCTGTGCATTTCCATCAACCCTGCAAATGTGCTCTGGCCTCCACTCCCAGGCAGCACTGACAACCTCCATCACCCACAGTAACTGACTGAGTCCCTGAGCCCGTAATGACAACCAAGCCCCAGAGACGCCCTGACCCAGGGCGTCACCTGGTTCACTGAGTTTGCTGTCTGGGGCACAGAATAGACTGTGAGATCTCAGGGAGGCAGGTGAAACGGTCCTCTCTAACTTCACTCTTCTTTCCCTCTCAAGTAAGAGATTAGGAGAGGTGCGTAAGACGGCTGTAGCCCCTATAAAACACTTCAAGCTACCCACCCCCCACCCAATTCTACAGTCACCCAGGTCATTTTGTGCTGTTATTACAGATCAGCACTGTTTTAGGATATGCATACAGTAACAGATTATTTCTATCAACCCTATGAGATAGAACGGTGATCATACTCATTTAACAGATGCAGGAGCTGGAACATGGAGAGATTTGTTCAAAGTCACAAAACTAGTAAGTGGTACAACTGAGATTCAAAATCAGACAGGCTGGCTCCAGAGACCCTGCTCTGAAAGGAGAATGGTCTGTGGGGGTCTGGAAACACAGTGAAAGAGTGATCCTGAGAGCGCGGCAGCTCTGCGCTTTTTGTCTGCATAGTTGAAGTTACAGAGACTGACCGAAGGTGCTGGGAGAAGACGGAGCTTCTTCCAGTCTCCTAAGGCAATACAGATCAGAGGGATGGACAACCTTTTCTGGGCGCTGGGAGAAGACGGAGCTTCTTCCTGTCTCCTAAGGCAATACAGGTCAGAGGGATGGACTGCCTTTTCTAGAGTACGAAGGGGGCTGATGCTTTCAATCTTGTAAAATATCAAACATTCAGAATTAGAATTCCTGCTCTTCTCTGAGCATTACTGCTCACCTCACTAAGAAGGTGAAGTGGGGAAGGAGAGAAAAAATTAAGCGGCTGGGATGTATTTGCTTTGGCACCCAGCCTCCACCCCTTCTCAGCAAACTCCACACCAGGAGGGAACTCCACGGACGGATACTCTGTGGTCGGGTTTGTTTTAACCCATTTAAGCTCCAAGAACCTGGCAATCATGTATTACAATCAAAGTGATATATGCAACTTTACACTTACAAGGGAAGTTCAACACCAATGTTATTTCCAAGTATATGTTCATTTGGCCTTAAAAGCTGTCAAAACTCCTATGAGGCCTCAATCCAGAATAAAAGTGAATAAAAGTACTTGATCAGACCCTAGCCACTGAGACTGGCAAATAACCCTGGGCGCCTGCTGGGGCACTCCTGCCTCTCTCCAGCTCTCATACATTGAGTGGGGTGGGGAGGGGGAAGATAGCTGGTATAATTAATGAAACAAGTTAAGTTTCCCCAAATAGTTGTCTCCACACGTAATAAACTAAACAAGCCAAAGAGTCATTCTGACAAACATTTAAGTCACAGCTGCAGACACAAAGCCATGCTATGAGAAGTTAACTTTTAAAATGTCCTGTATGGTCTCACAGGCAAAGCAAATCCCCACTTTGCCAGTGAGTGTCTTTTCCCACCAACAAAAGCCGGCAGCCCAGCCAATGCTTCCTGCACCCCCTGCACCGGCAAGTCCAGGTATCAACTGAAGTTTCTCTGCCAAGCTTTACAGAGGCAACTTGCAGGCAACCGTACACTGAGAAGGTAGATACGGGGATACATTTTACTTGAGCTGCTGGCTCACCAGACATTCTTAGGTAAGTAACTTACCTTCTCTGTGCCTCTATTTCTCTTTCTGAGGTATGGGTATAATAGCCACATATATGCTACTAACCCTCCAGAAAAGCAAACGAACTCAAATTTAGATATTATATTTGCTCTGTATTTTTAAGATTCTCTATTTAGTTTTCCCAAGATAGCACCAGAAATCAAATCTCATTACAATGAATGGAGGAAGACTTCCCAATTTCTTTGATCAGCTGAAATTTTGTTGTACTGAAGGCTGTTGACAAAATCAGATCAGAGGCATGTAAACCATTTTTCAAAAGAAGGACACTGTAAATTTGCTTATTATACTTGTGATGACTGCAGCATTAGGCCTCACTGTCCCCATCTTACAGATGAGAAAGCTAAGAATAGTTACTTGCTCAGGATTTATTTTTATAATAACCAACAGAACAGCATCATCTACTTAAAACCTCTAATATTTACTAAAACACTCCCCCAAAATGCTTCCGCTGTTTACTGTGATCTAAAACATGTGTTGCTAGGGGGCCCGTTTTCCTTCCCAGCACACCAAATCCACTGTAGGTTTCTGAACTGACAGATCCACACGCTATTTCCCAGACGACCAAATCTGTCTCTTCCCCATAAACACACATATAAACAAGCCATACTTAAGAAAAGGAGGCATTAGTTGAGATCTATCTTTGCTGGGAACTCTCCTTTCACTTCCTCTATAAATGGTTAGCATCAATTGGGACTAAGAGAATTAATTCTGGCTTCTTTAACACCGCCCCCCCGCCCCCAAGGCCACCATCACACCAGCATCATTTCTAAACTGTAGCTCTCTGTGCCTGAAATGTCTCCGAGGTTCTAGTTCATCTCAGCATCTCTCTGACAACAGTCTTAGTCTTTCTGTACCTTCCAGGGAGCAACCCAGAAACCCTGGACTTGAGTGTTAGGGGGTCTAAGAGAAGTCACTACCCACTGCTGTGTCTTCATTAAGGTCTCTGAAAGCTCTTCAAATGACAAAATCCAAAGTGGCTTGTGTTGAAAGTTTAAAGAGATTAAGAAAGGGTTAAAATATGCAACTAATTACGGTGGAGGCAAAGAAGTGTTAACCAACAGGAGCAGCTGCTGAACTTATTTATTGATCAGATACAACAGAGCTGCCTGTTACTGCGATTAATTATTTTCCAAAAGCATCAGCTTGTCTCTCTACATCTTTCTATATACCTCTACCTCCAAAATCATGACACTCTTAAGGACGGCTGGCAGTTCCTATCCTGAAAGAAAGCATCTTTTCTTTCCACACTGCATTTATTCCAGAAATTCTAGAGTGCCAGAGTTCATTAAACTGCTTAGCACCAAAAACTGTGTCTAAGACAAACTGAAACTTCTTTCCTATACCTTTCTTCTGCAAATCTAAGAGCTGGATAACACACCAGCCAAAGACTCAAAGTCACGTTTGGTTTTGGGAGGTTTTTCCCTCTTCTCACAGATCTTAGGTAGCAAGGGACAAATTTATGGCAGATTAGAAAGATGGATGAAGTATAACGTGCATAAACAGAATGGGGATGTTTCCCAGAGGTAAGATGGTCAACTCAGCTCTGCTTCCATCTCCATACCCTCAACCCAAAAAAGAGACACTAGACAGCAAAGGCACATGTGACGGGCGAGCTCAGGAAGGCAAGACATTTGAAGATGTGCTTGAAGGCCAGCCAGTTAGACATCCTTTGGGCTTTAACTTCCCAGGACCCTCCATCTAGCTCCAACTCTGGGCGATGTCGGCAGGGTCAGGGGATGATGCCCTAGGCAGCAGTGTCCACCCTCACTAACATTAAGAAATAAGGCCAGAGGGTTCCCGCTCATTTGGAAAAATAAAAAAGCAGGAATGGGGGTGCTGGACATTCTAAAAGCTTTTTCCCACCACTCACAAAAACACAGCTGTGAAAATAAATACGACCACCACCCCCCAAACAAGGGTCTCGGGCCACCAACAGTCTAGCTCTTCCTCCTGTCTACCTCTTTCCAGCTGCCACCAGCATCGCCTGCTTAGAAGCTGGGGCAAAAACGCACCACTTGCCTGGAAGAGAAGATCACACGGGGAGAAGTGGAGGGGAGCCAGGCCAGAGGCCGAGGGCTGGGGTGGGGGGCCTCGGCAGTCACCACTCACCCGGGGAGGGGAAAAGCTCCAGATCCACTTTTTCCGTCTTGATGATGGTGAGAGTCGGTTTGAGATCGACGGCCGCCTTCATGGTGCCAGGAGTGGGGAGGGGGGACAGACGGGGCTAGAGCGAGTTTGCTGTTATTCTTGTTTTTCTTTTTAATAGGGATGAGTAACGGGGGAAAGGGGACGGGGGGAATCGGACCTTCTTCTTTAAAATCTCAAATTTCCGCTGACTTTGCCCCGCGCCCAGAAGGTGAGCGCCCGGAACTCTCTCCAGGGTAGTTGGCACTTTGCGGGAAAGTGCGCGCGCGCCGGGTCCCCGCCTCGCCTGCGCCCCGCCGGCTCCCTCCTCGTCCGCGCCCGGCTCCCTCCTCTCCGCGGGCAGCCGCCTGCGCTCGCCCTCGCCCTAGCTCTCCAGAGCCGACTCCCTCCCTCGCCCGCGCGCTCTCCCCTCCTCTTTGGGGCGTAGCTCGCGGCGCCGGGCCCGGGCCGTGGGTCTGCGCGCTCGGCCCCCACCCCCAGGATCTCTGCCGGTGGGGAGGGTGGGACGGAGCTCGGGGCCCTCCGCGCCCGCCGCGCCCTCGGCTCACGGCGCCCTGCGGCCGGGTCGCCTTGGAGCCGCGCACAGAGCCGGCGGGCCGCGAAGCCCCCTACCTGGGGGAGAAGAGCCCGGAGCGGACGGGCTGGCTGGTGCCCGGGCCACCCTGTCCGTTTGGGAAAGTCCATCTGATTCTCCACGCATTCTTGAGGACTTGGTCACCCGCTCCCGCCCCCTCCCGGGAGCGGCATAGTTTTCTAAGTGCGTGTCCATCATTCATTCACAAAGACTGACACACAGGACGTGAGGCAGCGGCTGGAGGGGCGTGCGTGAGAGCAAGGGGCTCCGAGCCAGTGTCCTCAAAGGGCTCTGGGAATACTGGACTCCGGCCGCTTGGTGACTCAGGGATCGGGGTTGTATTGCTGGAGGAGCCTTCGATTTTTCCAGAGCCCACCCGCGTCATCGTTAAGAAATCAGTTAAGAAATGAGCTGCCCTTGATAAGAATCTAGCTGCCACTGGTATGGATGGAGCCCAAGGCTGCCTCCTGGAGACCCCAGAACAAAGGCCCAACGACTTCTATAGTATTAGGAAAGTCAAGAACTGGGCCCCCAAACTGGAATCCAGTCCTGGGCTTCCTTGAACTTCCAGTTTCCCTTCATCAGTGGTTCTGTTCCTCTAATTATGTCACCATTGGCCAAAGTTTTGTCTTTGCTTTCACAAACTCCTCTACTGGATAAAACTGACAATCCTCCTATTGCCACTGTCTAAAACATGATGCACAGCTCTGTGGTTTGAAATTTCTGGAGTACATCTTTCTCAGCCATGACAGAATCACAGTTTCAGCCCCCTTTTCCATTTGGGAAGCCCAGACACTTAGGATACCCTAACATGACCCCTGCATAATTAATAGTTTGCCACTGGTGCATTGGTTATAAAAGGAGAGAGTTGGTCCTAATTAACAAATCAAGCAGTAGACATAGAAGTGCGCACCTAGACACACGTACATATATCGGGAGCCAGGCATTGACCTATCTTTGATGAACTAAAAGATTAAACATAAATCTCTCTGAACAACCTCCGAGAAAGCTATTTTTAATCCTGTTTCCTGATTTCTAAGCATATGTTAACTCCCACCACATGGTTATAACTGTAACCTCAGCCTCTGATAAGTCTTAACACACCTGCTTACCTCATCTAACTCCAGTTTTGTCCTCTTGAAGTATAGTAATTTACAGGTTTCCCACAACCAGGGAAGAAAGGAGCCAGGAAGAGAAGATAAATCTCAAATCTCGGGCTCCTGGTTCAAACTTGAGATTATGCTCGTCTTCCAGTGACTCTGCAGAGTGAAGTATTTGTACGATAGACGAAGGATTGTTGTCATCCAGCTGTGTTTCCCAAAGGTATGAGAAAACAGCACTGGGCCCCAGATGACAAGAACAGACCCATCAGATCCTGGGAAAAGCTGGGGGAAACAGCGCATGAATGAATTGTGCATTTGCACATTCAAATGAGCAGCCAAGAAAGAGATCTTGAACCAATCCTGCCTTACCCACTGTGAATACATCAGCAAAAAGAACTGTGCAAATCAGGAGTTGCTTTGGGGAATTTTGTTTTATCAATGTTATGTTAAGGAAATGCTGGCATTTTTTTTAATCCAGGTGTGAGTATTCTATTTCAAATGCAGCGTTCTCAGAGCAAGTCCTGCCTTCTCTCCCTCGGTCCTTTTCTCAGCTTTCTTTCCAGGCTAGCCTAAACACTGCTGACCACCCCCATCCCTGCAAATTAGACACTCAAAGAGCCTGCCATGATAGATCCAAAAACATTGTCCACTCCAGCCGTGGGGGAAGTTTATTCCTTCAGTTCCTCAATGATGACAACTCAACTTGTCAGTCATCCTTTATAACCTAGTCCTGAAGCACAGAAGCTTGAAAGGTTTGACTGTGCAAATCAGGGGATGGGGTTGGGAGATAGCCAGGGGCCACCACCGACTTCCAGGAAAGTTACCCTGCGGGAGACCAGTTGTGAATATTGACGTTAGCAGAAGTTATACATCCAACCTCCCAACTGGATGAAATTTCCCTAAGGACAAGGAGCACTTAATACGGACAGAGTTAAAGTATTTTTTATGTATTTGGGATTTGAGTAACCCAGTCAGGCCTGCTATGATCCCACTTGGTTAATCTGATAATTTTGATAAATGAAATCTTTATTCTCTGTAGGACACAAGCAGATTTTTTCCTAAATGTTCCTGTGGACTTTAGATGATATTTGTATCTCGTGTGCTGTGCGTAGTCACTCAATTGTGTCTGACTCTTTGTGACCTCATGTACTGTAGCCTGCCAGGCTCCTCTGTCCATGGGAATTCTCCAGGTGCCGATACTGGAGTGGGTTGCCATGCCCTACACTTTGTATCTTACTATATCCTAAAAAACAGTGCCTGGCATGGTGCCTGACACATTGTAGACATTCAATAAATACTCACTGAATTGTGAAATATCAGGCTTCCCAGGTGGCTCAGGTGTTAAAGAATTCACCTGTCGATGCAGGAGCTGCAGGAGACATGGGTTCAATCCCTGGGTAGGGAAGATCTCCTGGGGGAGGAAATGGCAACCCACTCCAGTATTCTTGCCAGGATAATCCCATGGACAGAGGAACATGGAGGGTTACATTCCATGGGGTCACAGAGAGTAGGACACACACACACACAAAAAGACTGAGCACACACACAAGTAAATAAGTAGTGAACTATCACCTCCCTGGTCACTAGGGACTTTTACTTTGCCACCAAAGCTTCTCAATACAAAGGGTGAGTGAGTGTGATACTTAGGGCTTTTGAAAATGAGCTAAACAATGTGAACCACTCTGCCTTTAGGTCTGACCTTTGGCTTGGCTGATCACAAGCTCTATTCCCCAGCACTCCTGTCCACTCCAGTTCATTAGTGCCTCACTTTTTCCATTAATAAAACAAGGTCAGCTGAGCTTTGCCTTCCAGCCCCTTGGGCAGGTTGTTTCAAGACCCTATCTGCTTTTTAAGGCACTCAAGAGAATTCAACCAGGAATGACTTTGTTTTTGCTTGTAATGCAGCAGTCTGTTCTTCCTACACCTGACAGAAAACAGAATTGTATCTTCAAACATTCCCAAGACTTAGGGAATTACACCCAGCAAGCGCTGAAATTCCTCAAACTAGAAACATCATGTCAGAAGGGTTCAGAACAGACATCAGGCGTCAAGGGGCAGGGGTGTGGAGTCAGACATTAATGACACCAAAAAAACAGTACTTTAAACATGGAGTATGTAAAACACATAAACTTTCTTCTTTTATCCCCCTCCCTCCCTCCACTGTACTCCAATGTCAATAAAAAAGAAATATAAAAATACATCTAATTTTAGACAATCCTGGAAGATCCTGAAGACTGTCCCTCTCCAGAAGTGTAGTGGAATACATTGTCTCTTTCTCGCATCTTGACCAAAAACTAAAGAATCTCAGAGTTGTGAGCTAAAATACGCTTTATTAAAGGTAGGTGCAAAAACATTCAGACCGCTAACGGCTAATCCAGAGCAAGTTTATGACTCACAGATGATTTGCTGGTTTAAATGTAAGATTGAAAAAAAAAAAAAGTTTTCAATTAACAACCTTCCCGCTTTGCGTTTGTGGTTGTTTTTCTCTGAGAAAGAAAGGCAACAGTCACCCTGTAGCACACAGAAACAGGCTTCTAAAAGCTTAACTCTAAAGCAAGTGGTTTCTATGTGATAAGTTGAGTCACTGAAAAGCACCCTGCAGGGAGAAAGATGCCTGGGGCTTCCATATCCACCGTTATCAAGCTGCCATAAAATGGAAAACTGGAGAAAATGAAAAGAACTCTCTTAATTAAACTCGGATGCCCAAAGGCCTTAGGGTCAGTTCAGGAACCCAAGTGGGGGACTCAAGCTGGGCTGTCGCTGACTGCAGGCTGGCTCTGTGACCTCACCCAAGCCACTTAACCTTTTTGTGTCACAACCTCATCCCTGTTTCAGGGAATAAAAATCACCCCTGGCTGTCCCCTGACCGTGTAATACAGACTCATTAACTATTGTTTAGAAGGTACAATAAACAATTGAGCGATAAGTAAGGGGGGAAGCCGGGAGAAGAGGGCGGGCTGCAGAGAGGGGAGGACTTGATGCCTGTTTGCCCTGGGAAAGTTCTCCAGGATAAAACCGAGGAGCCTGAGTAGTGCAGACTCTGGAATAAGACTCAGATTGAAATTCCAGCTTGACCCACTCACCAGCTGAATTACTCCACAGAAGTCCTTTAAACAATCCCAAACTTCAGTCCTTCCCTGTTGAAAGTAAGGTTGCTTGGAGGATTACGTGAGATAATGCAGGAAAGAATTTAGCACAGTCAGGAAAAAGAGCTCAAATAAAGTTTAATCACTGCTAAAGTTACTGCTTTTAAGAGCCAATAGACAGTAGGATGAGCTTCCCAGGTCAGGCAGTGGTAAAGAATCCGCCTGCTAATGCAGGAGATGTGTGTTCGATTCCTGGGTAGGCATGACCCCCTGGAGTAGGAAATGGCAACCAGCTCCAGTATTTTTGCCTGGGACATCTCAGAGGAGCCTGGTGGGCTACAGTCCACAGGGTTGCAGAGAGTCAGACATGACTGATCTACTGAGCATACACGCATGTAGATGCTAGGACGTAGGAGAAATCACAAAAAAAATCTTCTCCATGGTGAACCCCTTTGCAGAGTAAGGTGGACTCTCTATTTACCTGAACTGTCTTATGGACAGATTAGGAGAACGATCATATCTAATGTTAAAAAATTGCTCCAACCCACTCCCTCAGAACCTGCCCAGCTTGGACCTTGCTTTAGATATTCCGGCACTACCTGGTCGGGAGAGGAAACTGCAGACTTGTATTTAAAAGTCACGGCAAAGCTGTATGTCAGGTTCAGAAGGAATATCATGTTTGCAGTGCCTCTTTGGAGACAAAACCTTAGGTCTTGGCTCCGTCACATGTTATAGTTAGATGGACTCTCTTAGAGATAGTCAAGTTCAGCCCTGCTATCTCCAGAGGAAAAAATGACTCTGAGAGAATAAGTCATTCTGCCCAAGGCCAAACAGTTCAGAAAAGACTGTCATTTCTAGAAAGGGATCCCCTGCTCACAGTTTGGGCGTCTTCTTGGGTTTGTAGATACCACACTGCAGGGGAAGTCACTCACTGTCATTCGGTTAGGTCTGTTCCCAGACACCCTTGAGAAACGAAGCAAGATACAGCGTACATAGGAACAGAGAGATGCTCAGACTCGATTTCTAGAAATCTAACAGTCTCCTCTGCCCTGGATATGTTGTCTCCGGGCACACACGCTGCAGGGTAACCACACTAGCATTCTCTGCGGGAGACAGCTTGGCATGGGCTTAAGGAGAGAAAGGGTCTGGGCTGGCTCATCGCTGTCTGCCGTTTCTTTAGGCTGTAATTACGACCCATTCAGCTGCATCTGCAGCCCCAACAATGTGGGATGGATGGGCCTCATCCACAGACCAGGCGACATTTGAAAATCCACCAGTTCAGACAGCACGTACTTCACTCGCAGCAGCTCAGACTTCTGCTCACACAGAAGGTGGTGAGGAGCTGCCAATCAAGGCTACAGGATCTGAGGTTCCCTCCACACCACAGTTACTTTCCTTGAGGTGAACTGAGCACCTGTCTCGGAATTTTGGCCCCGTCCGGGCCTGGGTCATGCGGAATGCCGGCTACCCTGGAGCCGCTGGGTTCATGTAGTCTAAGTATGATTTCTAATGTAAGCTGTCCTAAATTGGTCCCTGGAGGGTGGAGAGGGATGATGGCGTGTGCAAAAATGGTGGAAGAACCAGTGTTCTTTGATATCATGGCGGGAGCAGAGACCCAGGCTCCTGGTGGGGAGCTCGGAACCCCAGAAGAACAAGATCCTAAGCCCCCCCGCAACCAGACTGCAGGTGGTTTCATCTGGTGGCAGGCTAAGTGCCCCCCATCTGATCTCACCCTGCTTTTCTCTTGGGTTACAAAGACAACACCAGGCTTCAAAACAGATGTTCTCTGCAGTTGTCGTATGAATCTTAAGACAATTTTATTGTGGCATCTTCCCTTTTCTTCTTCCCCTTTCATTTGGAAATGCCAAGTCAATTGCCCCAAAGGACTAACCTTTACCACCCTAGAGATGAAGGAGAGGAGGTGGGGTGGAGAATGTCTTCATTCTGTTTTCGATGCTGCAAGTTGGGCAGAGGAAGCAGGTGGCAGTAGAAGACTAACTCTAGAGGGAAAGGGGAGATGCTACCCGAGGAAGCAGGAGAGAGCACCTTTCTGACAACAGTGGGAGGATGGGCGCGAGGGGACACAAGAAGGTACTGTCACAGAATTTCTATGTCCTTGTCATTCTGGGACTTAAGTCTCCAAGTTTCCAAAATGAAACTGAGGCCTGGTCTTGTATCTGGTACCTTGCCTGAGTCGATTTCATTGACCTGCATGGCCAATAGTCAAGGAATAACAATCAAACAAATCAAAGGTGGTCCTCAAGCTGGAAGAGGATTCAGAGCAGAAAGGAGGAGGTTGCACAGAAGATGCAACGGAAGGTCAAGAAAACCTACACCAAACACAGAGGGCATTTCTCAGTCTTTCTCAGACATGGGCACTTTCTTTATACAAAGAATTTTCCACCCCACCACCACAAGGTGCCCTCTTGTGCCCAGGACACCCCAAAGGAATATTTAAATATGTACATCTGCCTCCCACACTCCCTAAAGACAGCGATTAGTCTGTCATCACCTCCAGTGCTCAGCTCAAGACAGTAGGAGCTCAATAAATGTCACCGATTACTTAATTAACGAACAAATAACTTCCTAAAATTTCAAATACAGATCTCTGAACTCAAATATCAGTCTTCTTTTTTCAGCCTAATGTGAGACTCAAAGTTACCCAACATTTAAGATAAAGAGGTAAACAGGTGACTCTTTTTAACTGAAAAGGTCTTTATCAAGTTTAACTCTCCTGTTCTCATCGCCTGGCTCTGATGCCCTTAAAGGAAAATATTGCTAAGGTCACCATATTCATTTTATTTTTCATGAGAGTATTCACGGATATAGTTGTTTGTGAAAAAATAAATGGTGTTTGGCTTAATCACAAATGCAAACCAATCATTTTGTCGTTGGTCTGAACTTATACACAGCATACTGTTCATATTGTCAGAAGCAGTCTTCAGAAATTCCTGAACTTAAGTTGCATCTTTTATTTCACTGTATCATGAAGGTAAGATTCAGAATCCCTGTATCCATGACTCAGATAAGAGAACACATGAGATGAACCCAATTTTCTCCATTTTTGTGAGGAAGAAGAGCTAGACACTTCATAGGGAGTCCAGTGTCATCCCCTTCACCTTCTCAAATTTATAATTTGTCAGGTTCCCAAAAACAATGCATTTTTTAAAAATTGTTTGACCATACTATAGGCATCCCCTCTGGTGAGATAGGGGATGTGTTGGGAGGAGATGGAGAAGGACAAGATAGGGAAATTCAACTGAGCTGTTACCACCTAGCAGGTGGCAGAAAGACACAGAGAATGCCTGACCTCTCTGGCTGGCTGCACCATGGCAGAGGACACCTCCTTGCACTAAATTAGTTATGTCTCCTGATGGGTCTTGACTATGCTGTCATGGAAAAGCAGGCTAATTTTCAACTATAGAAATCAAGGAAAAAATGGGTTTGGTTGGGGTCCACCATTGCCTTTTAGCTGCCATGAGAATCAGGAACACACATCATTTTACATCACCTCCTCCAGGCTAATTATACAGAATTGGCCCCAGAAAAAAAATGAAGTGTGTTACACGGACAACATGTTACTAGTCAGGAAATATAACATTCTTTGAAGCCATCACCTACAAATATCTCACTCAGGCATCTACTCCTCCCTTCACTTCAGCGTCCTCCACTTCACCATATCACTGGGTTATAATGAATTTATACAAGTCCTCCCTTAGCTGATGCCAAACCTAGTAACAGAGAAAGTGGAACGCAGAGCACTTATTCAAGTCCCTTGCTGTTTCAAGTCTCTTTTTGCATGTGTGCTGTTCCCAGAACACGAGCGCAGAAGCTGAGTCTCATGAATACACAGGACCATATATCCACAAAAACAAATCTAGGGTGTCCAGTGTCATTATTCATATTTACAATGTACTGAGCACCAAATATGCCACTGATAGAGGGTTGACAGTTGAAAAACCACCTCAAGAAGGGATATATCAACTCTTCTCCGGGATGACAGCTCCCATTTAATTCTCTGTTTTTCAGAGCCAAAGAGACGAAGCCTTCTTTAACTTACAAAGAGACAGCTGGGCTCACTCAGCTCATTGCGTCACCCAGAGCGAAGGAGTTGGAAGGGAGCGGATGGTCCTGGTGATGACGCATGAGGTGGAAGAGATTCGGCTCACATCTCATCTATATGGATTGGCTAGCATACAATGAAAACCTTTCTCCCTTTGCCTTGATGGAGACAGGAGAGGCTAACCCGGTGTGTGTGACGTGCAAGAAGGCGCCATTTAATCAGTCAGCCAGAGAAGTCCTTTCAAGTGTTGGGGGCTCTGAGATGATAGGTAAGGTGGAGAAGGAAGAAAGTAGAAAACAGAGAAGTTTTTCCTTAATGGAAGTGTATTTCATCAGACTGATCAGAAACATGTGTTTTCCCCAGACGGGGAAACCATCTTGAAAGACTTCATCCCACAAAGGCTTTGGGTGGAAGCAAGCGCCACCAGGGACCCGCTGGGGAGGAGGAGGGGCAGGGAGGAGGGCGTGCAGCTGGTTGGGGAGCTGGCAGGGGACGTGGGAGGAAAGCGCAACCGGCGGGCGGTTCTCTTGTGGCAGGTTCCCAGGAGAGGTCCCTTTCCAGGAATTAAAAATTCTAAATAATGTTCAGAATTTTGAAAAATCAAAAAGATTATGGACTTTTCTTTCAGGGAATTCCACAGTCTTGAAAGAGACCAGATGGCTGGCAACCACCAACCCAGACCCAGGAAAGACCTAGCATCCACATACACTCCCCTTTTAGTGAGCAAACATTTTCTCTCCAGGAGCGTTTTTTTTTTTTTTTTAAATTGAATGCGATGAAGCTGAGGTGTGGAGGTAAGGGATAATTCCAAACAACCCACATGGCCTCGCGCCCAAAAAACCAAAACATAAAACAGAAGCAATGCTATAACAAACTCAATAAAGACTTAAGAAAAAAAAGTGGTCCTCATAAAAAATATATATATATGTGTCTATGTATATGTATATATATATATCCCACACAAAGACCTGTAGTTTTTTGCCAAATTAGCTATCAGGCTTTGGTTTTCTAACTATAAGGAATGCACTTAATCTCTACAAGAAATGAGGAGGCATAGGGTAGAGTGGTTAAGGGTACAAGCTTGGCTTCAGGTGGACAAAAGTTTGAGTCAGCTTGGCCTTTCTACACCTCTCAATCCCTTGGCCTGAGAAAGCCTGTTTCTCCACCTGTAAAATGGAGGTGATCATAGTGCCCACTGACAGAGTTAATCTGAGGATGGAATGAATTTGTGTTCAGTCATTTGCACTGTGTCTACCACAGAATAAGCACCCAACAATATTTTGCTGCTATTATTCATTTTACATAATCAAGATGTTGACTTTGGATTTAGTGACCATAAAATTTTCATGGAAGTTAATCCAAGAGATGAAGACATAGTGGTCCCATTAAAGTCATGAAAAGTGAAAGTGAAGTCGCTCAGTCGTATCCAACTCTTTGTGACCCCATGGACTGTAGCCTACCAGGCTCCTCCGTCCATGGGATTTTCCAGGCAAGAGTACTGGAGTGGGTTGCCATTTTCTTCTCCAGGAATTAAAGTCATGACATAGTATTAAAATAAATATAATTTTAAGTCTGAGTATGTAAATCACATGGATCCAGACACCAACCCCTTTGGATGAAAGGGGGTTGATTCCCATTACATAGATGTGAAATATGGTTCTGGAAGTTCTAAATGTATGGTCACAGCTACGTTACACACTAGCCATGCAGAGAGGAACAAACGCCTTCTAGGATTCCTTGCAATCCTGGGTTCTCCCCGCTCTGGGTTGTATGTTTGATACCCATTCAGTGATTTCATACAAACTGAGCAAAATAAGATCCCAAGCAAATGGCCTCACTATTTGGCTTTGGGGCTGGTCACCAAGTTAGCAGAATCTTACAGACATGCTTCAGGTCATGCCCTGTGCCTTGCTGCTTGAGTTCTCCCCAAACTACTGCCAGTATACCACTGCATTCACTTCTCTGAAGTCTTTTCTTGTGTTATCCCATCTTTCTGACAGCCAGAAGTTTCCTAACAACTTGTACTCTAAACCTGGACTTCTAACTATGTGTGTTTGCATGCTCAGTTGCTCTCTAGCCCGCCAGGCTCCTCTGTCCATGGGATTGCCCATGGACAACGGGATTTCCCAATGGAGTGGGTTGCAATCTCCTACTCCAGGGGATCTTCCTAACTCAGGGATCTAACCTTCGTCACCTGCATTGGCAGGCAAATTCTTTACCACTGAGCTATCAGGAAAGCCCAACTGCGCTGTACTCAAGCATATTTAGTTACACAATTCTGGACCCGCGAAGCACCCCCCCACCCCCCACCCCCCGCCCAGCTCCGACTTGCCTCCTGGAATTCAGATGAAGTGTTCTATTTGCTGTGTCACCACTTGTGCTGACCAGCTGAACCTAAGGAAAGACATCCCACCTTGCCCCTCACGCCGCCAGTCAGCAGCACAGATTCTGCTATTTAGGGGCATCCGCTACATAATTTGTATTCTCGCACCGCTCGTGCCTGGCATCTGGCCGGCAAAGGCTGGCAGCGCGGAACACACAGAGTCTCCTCGCAAGTTGCCTGCTCCATTTGGCAAGATGAACGCCGTATCATTGGGAAAGTGGACTTAATTGGATTTCTGAGAGTGTTAAGTCATCCCACCTCAGCTCCAAGTTGATTAAAGTGTAGCTCTGCCCTTTCCAACAACCAGAGCAAAGAAATGATGAAGAAATACTCTTAAAATGCACAAGGCTGGTCCTCTCACTTACTCTCTTTTTTTTCTTAGTGACTTTGGGGAGGTTTGGGCATGGATCCTGCACACACAATACTGTTCTTGTTCTTCTTTTCTCTACAGGGCAGCCCTGAATGGCTCTGTCTAAAATTATAAGCAGGGCGGCCCTGGGCTCCAAGAGATCAGAGCCCTCATGCTGTGCCTGAACAAAGACCCTGCTTTTCCCCAACAATTAGGCCTGCAGAAAAGGACATCTATCTGCCTCTATTAAAACCACCACGTGCCTTCAAGTCAGCCCATTGTAAAGCTAATTAAATAACACGCCTCTCTCCCCATGCAGGTCTCCTGATTAGCTTTCCTCTGCCCGGAACGTCTGCAAAGCGCCTAGAGATAGACAGCTAATGTTCCACTTCTCTGACTTTCCCCCAACACCGATCGCTGGGCTTTGAAAAAGCCACCTCGTCACTATTGTCGGGTTTGTTCAGGCGACAAGCTCATCCAGAGCTCAAGATGTAAGTTCTCCAACTTAAAGGAAGAGACAAATTTTATATTATTTTAAAAATAAGGGACTTCCCCGGCGGTCCAGTGGTTAAGACTCCACACTTCCACTTCTACTGCAGGGAGCACAGGTTCAATCCCTGGTTAGGGAACTAAGATCTCATGTACTCTGCAGCCGAAAAGAAAAAAAAAGTAACTTGGGGAAGCAACACTTCTGTCACAATACAGACTCTTCGGTGGAAATCCACCGTTATCACAGCCTGCAGCTGCTATCCCAGCAGTGTAACGTTCCTGAAGGGCTCTTCATAGAAGTCGGGGAGGCTGGATAAGACACAGCCAGGACTGTACAAGCGGCCCTCCAGCTCAGACCTGCATGAAACAGAAGCACAGATTTCTCGGAAAGACACTGTAGAGGAATGTTGATGTATGACAGAGGTCAACACAATACTGTAGAGGAATGTTGATGTATGACAGAGGTCAACACAATACTGTAAGGCAACTGTCCTTCAATTGAAAAAAAAAAAATTTAAAGGCCACTGTAGTGTAAAACAGAGATACAAGAAAACATTTCAACCCAGTTTTTTAAAAACATGATGTAGAAATAACAAATTCCTACCAAGACTCTTTAGTGCTAATCAGATAAAATCGAAGCATTGCCCAAATGGCTCACATTAGCCCCTGCCCATTTTTCAACCCTGCTTCTCTTTCTTTCCCTGCTCTCTGACAGTCCTGGACTTGCTGGTACCCCTTGAACGTGCCCCAGTGCTTCACCGTTTTACGTGCTTCTCAGACCTTCCTGGAAAGCCCTGCACCACCCTTCCCGTTCATCCACCAGGAAACAGCAGCAAACATCACCAACACCCCACCCCCACCCCTTGAAGGTTTCCTGGGCCTCTGGATAAAACCAGGCACTTCCTCCTTTGCACCTCCTAACAAACTGCCCTCAAGTCAGCGTTACAGGCTTCTGATTGAGTGGCTTGCTACCTGGTTTAAAATAGCCTCGGCCCAAGGACTTTCCTGGTGGTCTAGTGGTTAAAAACCTGCCTGATAGTGTGGGGGACAAGGGTACCAGCCCTAGTTGGGGAACTAGGATCCCACATACTGGGGAGCAACCAAGCCTGCATGCATGCCAAAACTAGAAAGCCCATGTGTTGCAATGAAAGATGACGCAGCTAAGACCAGATTCAGCCAAATAAACAAAACAAATAAATAATCTCCACCCTTCTAGGGCAGGAGTCATATTCTATTCGAATTTTAATTTCCACAAAGCTTAAAACACGGTGATTTGGACCTCGTGATTTAGTAAATGCTGCTTAATAACTGTTGAAAGAATAATTAAATAAATGAATGAAATGATGAATAAATGAAGGAATGAATAAAACAGCCATTTGGTATTAAAAGTGATCTAAGATGGTAATGGTAAAATCAGGCCCACTTCCAGCTTCACCATAGACAGCCCTGCACACTTGGAAAAGAGTATTATTATCTTATGACATGGTTCTCTCCGTTTGAAACTGTCTAGTCTAATTACACACATACACACTTTTCAGATACAAAAATGTTTAATAATAAAATGAAAGGAGACCAGCCCTTTTCTAAGTCTGTTTAATAGTTATAGAGATTAACTTTTGAAATCAGCTCCAGCCTTTGAGGACTGTAGCTCATTTAATCATCAGACCATACCAACCTTTCCTTCTAAGTATTTTTAAGAAGACTCACCAATCTTCTCGATTGTCCTATACAGATGAATGGATGACTAAATTATAAAGCAATCCCATATGCAGTTTAAGTTTCCCATGAAATACTCATGGACCTCAAAATTAGCAGGAAAAACAAAGCACTTGGCAAAACAGATTTTGAACTCTGCCAAATCCACAAACATTTAAAAACAGCCAAAGTCACTGAATGATTCCCATCCTTAAAACATAAAGCCTTATAGCAAAAGTCACTCCCTGATGGTTCTCGTGTAAATTCACTTCCGTGCACAATGCCATCTGGGGTCAGTTCTTCCCTTGTCATTTTACCATCACGATCTCAACTTCTAGAAAGTTGTGTTTTTCTAATATTTGAGGGTGCCTTCTACAGAGAGAGAGAAAGCAAGGGATAAAGACATAGAGAAAGAGTCCACGATCCTATAACAGTAAGTAATCATATCAACAAAAGAGTATAGAACCTCCAACCTGAGACCCGGGAGAAAACACTGCCATTCCTTTGATAGTCCCTTTGTTCTGGCAAGCCTCCTACTTGCTAAATGGAATGCCCACTTTATAATGATCATAATGGATTGAAAGCTATAAAATTAGATTCTGGCTAGCAATGGCTCTTTATTACTCTCCTTTATCACAGTGTGACTTCATTCTCAGATCTTGCCTTAAGGAAGAGTCATCCACAACCTCGAAGATATGGATAAAGTAGGATAATAAACAAAGACAAATCAACCTGCATTTTCATTGTGATCTTTTTCCTCAAAGTATCATTTGGTATGACTACAAAGCAGCCAGTTAGCGTTGAGCTCACTGTTACTTTATCAAGCACAGATTATATAAACTACATGGCAGGAATAAACAGTTAACCACAAAAATAAATAAAAAACAGGGTAGAAAGAGAAGAAATGAAGGTAGGTGTGAATACCACATGTATGTATGTGTATGTGCTCCGTAGCTCAGGCATGTCCGACTCTTTGTGACCCCATGGACTATAGCCCACGAGGCTCTGCTGTCCATGGTATTTTCCAGGCAAGAATACTGGAGTGGGGTTGCCATTTCCTCTTCCAGGGAATAGTCCTAACCCAGGGATGGAACCCACATCTCTTGCATTGGCTGACAGATTCTTTACCACTAACGTGAATGCCATAGCATTCATCAAGTAGAACTATCAGAGGAATATGATCAATACGTTTGAATCAAAGAATAGGAACATAAAGATAAGAAATAGATATTGTGAATGCCTACTAAGAAATATATATTATGATGACTACTGTCATGAAGACATTGGGTACAAGAATTAAGTACAGTGGGGTAAACACAATATGATTAAAGTCTTAGCAAATAGCATACATTATGTGTGATACCAACAGCCCCTTTCTAAATCCAATTATGGTTTGGAGCAATATTAGAAAGCATAATATAGACAAAGCAAGACACACAAGAAACCTCTTATTAGGAGCAGGAATGGACTGTAGGGAGCTGTTGTGTTGATAGTTCATATCAATATATTTCAGTTAGCAGGTTATTTAAGCAATGACTTCAGGGTAAGCTGCCTTATGATTCTAAGCAATTAGGAGACACCCCTTTCACACTATTCACAGAGTTTGGGTCATTTTAAGTCCTTTATGTGTCAAATCTCAGAACCAAAATTGAGTTGGCATGGCTTCTCTCCTCTGACAGAAATAACAGCTAAGTATTACCTTCTGTCAGACATGACTAAATGACTAACTTTCACTTTCTTTCATTACCTTCTGCAGCCTGGAAAGTCACTTCCATCAGCACCTCCTAGCACCTCTGAGAGGTGTCCAGGAGGAGGGAGGCATTCAGGCTCTCAGCAGAGAGCATTTGTCCAGGGTATAGAGACTTTCCAAGTTTGCATGACTCTGACCCAAGTCAGCATGCAAAATACTGAAGGTGCACATTTATGCAATTCTTTTAGATGATTCCTGGGTCCCAAGTTACTCTCCTCTATCACTCAGAGACTTTCAAATGTGGTTTTCTCCTGCCAAGTCTTGTGTTATCATTTCTCTAATTTCTTGTTCGACCTTTTATCACTTACACATCACAAAGCGAGTCATCATTTTCCCACCAAAAAAGTATGGGGTGAAGGAGGGAAGGCATAGGGCAGCAAAGAGAAGATGATTCAGGCATTAATCCCTACCCATGAAAGTGAAAGTGATAGTCGTGAGTTGTGTCCAACTCTTTGTGACCCATGGTCCCACCTATCTCTACTCGAAAGAGAACCAAGCAAAGCCGCCTCGGGAGGAGGACACAGTAGGGCCCCAAGTGATGCATCTGCCAGAGCTCAAGGATAAACCAGAGGAGTCAGGTCTGGATTAGGGATGAAGAGGAAGGGGAGGAAGGCGTCAGATCCCTTCCCATGGGAACGCAGGGGTGAGAGAGACCGAGATGAAGAGGAGGACTTCTGCTTGGACACCTCGCGTCTCCTTGCAGCTGCTGCAGGAAAATGTGCGGACGGAGCAGCAATAAGAGCAGCTGGTCACAAAACTCATCTTTCTGATACTTCTCCCACCAGTTATATATGTTTATTGAGATTTTATAATAACACGTTCCGGTAGAGACTTCATGACAAGTAGAACATGGCATTATAAACATACAAAGAATGCCTTCTGGGAAACGCGCCATTGTTGTAAAGTCACAGACCCCAAATTCTCCACCAAAGGCAAGTGAGCACTGGAAAGAAGGAAGAAAGAGAAGAGGGATAGGGAAGAGGACATGGGGGGTGATTTCAGGTCTTCTGTGTGTTGACACCTTCAATATTACTGGCGTTTTTACTTCCCTTGGGTTCACAATGGTTATTCCCTCAAAACACCCAAACTGAACATACTAATTTTATTAAAAGTCTTTCGTGTGAACACCTCTATAAGCTTGGGGTGTTTTCCAGACAACTGTTAGTGACTTTTTTTTAAAACTTATCAAATATAAAACCAAAAAGATGAAAAAAGAAATATGGATTTCTTGGCAAACACACTTGCATTAAGTTGAGATTTATACAAGTAGTGCATAAAATCATGATGACTTTTTCCTTAAAGAGTCTGCTGAATTTTTTTTTTCCCCTTCTTGGAGTTAAAATACACTGAAGTAACTTCAGAATTAAATACTTGATTTGTCTTGGTTTAACTGCAATAGAGAAGGTCAGGGGAAGGTATTATGTTCCTAGAGATGTGAAGATTGAGCATCATTTAACATAACTAGACTTTCAGATTTTGCATTCTTCACAAATTGCACACATAGTGGTTGCTTTCTGTTTTTATTCCTGGTTATTATTATTCTACATAGCTTGCCCAAGTCCCAGCACAGTGTTTAATACTAAGCTACAAAATCAGGCTGACCTGAGCTGAAATCTGTAACTTACTAATGGTGTACCTCTTGGCAAGCTACTTCAACTACATAAAGCTCAGCTTCCTCGTCTATGAAATGGAGCTAATAATAACACAGGATATTCTGGTCATATTTAAATAAGATAATATATGTAAAATATTGAACAGTATCTGGCTCAAAATAAATAATAAATGGAAATTTGGGGATATTTTTCAGGTTAAAAAAATTGCATTCCAAACCAGAACTCAGATATCTGCAACCCACTAAGTTCACTAGAAATCAAAACATACTCATTTATTGCAGTGAACAATGTTGAATGACCACTTAATACAAGTTATTATTTATGCCATAGATTAAGAAGACAGCTCATAAACATAAGTGGCCTATGTATTTTAAAATATCTATTTATAAAAGGGCCAAGACAAAGAAAGAAAAGTCTCTTTAACATATAGTGCTGGGACAATAAGATATAAATATGCAAAAGTAAAAATCGGATCCCTTATTCACACTATACACAAAAATTAGCTCAAAATGATCCTCAATTTGAACCTAAGAGCTAAAGCTATAAGGTTCTTACAAGAATGCATAAATCTCCACAACATTGCATTAGGCAATGATTTCTCACATATGACACCAAAAGCACAAACAACAATGAAAAACAAAACAAACAAAAGAAAGAAATTGGGCTAATCATAACTAAAAACTTTTGTGCTGCATAATATAACATCAAGAACCTAAAACAGCAACTCATATTAGCAGAGAAAATATTTAGTTCCAAATCTCACACACACATACACACACATACGTGGTACAGTGATAAAGAATCTGCCTGCCAATGCAGGAGATGCAAGAGATGGCGATTCCATTCCTGGATCTGGAAGATCCCTTGGAGAAGGGAATGGCAACCCACTCCAGTATTCTTGCCTGGAGAATTCCATGGACAGAGGAGCCTGGTGGGCTACAGTCCACAGGGTCACAAAGAGTCAGACATGACTGAGGGACTGAACACACACATGTATGGAACTGAAATGGGCGAAAGAACTAAATGGGTAAATATTCAAATAGATATTTCTGCAAAGAAGATACACAAATGGTGAATAAGCGTATGAACAAATGTTCCTCCTAATCATTAAGGAAGCACAAACTAAAACCACAGTGAGACACTACTTCATAACCTCTATGAGATCTATCAAAAAGACAGACATTAACCAGTCTAGGTGAGGATATGCAGTGATTGGAACACTTGTACATTGCTGGCAGAAATGTCAAATGGTGCAGCCAGTTGGGAAATCGGTCTGTCAGTTCCACAAATAGTTAAACATCAAGTTACCATATGACCAGCAATTCCACTTCTAGGCATAAACCCAAGAAAAATGAAAACATGTTCACACAAAAAAGTACACATGAATGCTCATAGCAGGATTATTTCTAACAGATACAAAGTGCAAACAAATGTCCATCAAATGATGGACACAGAAGTTGGGGCATATCCATGTAACAGAACAGTATTCTGCGATTTAAAAAGGATGAGTTACCGATACATGCTACAACATGAATGAACCTTGAAAATAGTGAAAGAATCAGTCACAAAAACCCCCATATTGTATGACTCCGTTTATAAGAGAAGTCCAGAAAGGGCAAATGTATAAAGGCAAAATTAGGCTAGTGGCTACTAGGGCATGGGGCTGGGGAGGGGGAGGGGGAAGAAGACTAGGTTTGACTGTTAATGAGGATGACATTCCTTTTAGGAGGGACAAAAATGTTCTAGAATTAACTCATGGCGATGGTTGCACGATACTGTGAATATCTTTAAAACTCTTTAAATTGTACACTTTAAATGGGTGAATTGTACCATATATGAATTATATCTCAATAAAGCTTATTTCAATTAAAAAAAAGAAGAAAAAAAAAAACACTGCTTTTCCAGAGGTGAAGCAAGACAAACAAAAGAGAAAAAGAATTTTCAGTCTTCACGGTTGCCCAGAAGAGTCTGTGAACATCATCCCAAGACCATTTGCTTAACCAAAGTTCAATGGAAAAACATCTAACATTTCTGTGACCTTCTTTTCTAAACTTTCTAAGTGGCTTAAAGAGAGGCTGCCCGGGAAACTCCGAATGGAACCTAAAAATATTATCTCCTGGCTTTATAAACACTGGCAACGCTAATGAAGTGAGGAGCCACAGACCCCAGGGATGGGACGTCTCACTCAGGTTGGAAGCCTGGGTGGTGTGTAAACTCACCCTGAGGCGGGCAGATTTGGGCCAGAGAGGTGACTATCAGCATGGTGGAATGGAGGAAAGATGAACGAGGAACCAAGATACATAAAGCAGAGCAGGAGTGGCCACTGTTCTAAACATCAGTAAAGCAACCTCTT